GTCCGGGCCCAAATGCGATGACCTAAAACATACACGAGGTCGTGCTGGTTAACTTCATACCATACATGTATATGTTGGGGTGGAGCGGGGCGACGAAACGTGATGGACAAACATACACACATAGATACACACTGATATCTTTGATTTTATTTATATGAGTGTATTTATCTACCGTAAACATAGAACTACTTGTACTTTATCTACTTGTAATATAATGTATATATATTTGTATATTTGTATTCTGATAAAAAGAAAGCCTACCTAAATCTCAACTGTCTATGGCCACTATTCAGGTAAACGTCATAGCATTACATACTCGATTATGAGCAACAGGAAAACCAAACAAACATTTACATGGAATACATTATTAAAGAAACATTATGGGAGATTAGATAACGAGTTGGCAGTTCTCATTATAATAGTTAAAAACTACATAATGTAAAGGCAATTTGCTGAATATTTCATTCAAATTGATCTACTATGAGCCGAGAATTAAGAGATTCTCCGCCTAGCCTCGATCACCATTACTAAAGTCACGATTATCCATTTAATCATTAAATCGTGAAGGAAAGTTGTGCAGAAAATCGGCTCATAATCCACTAAAGATCGCAGGTTAGCGATGGCATCGAGAGTTGATTATGGTCTGGATAAGTTAATTAATGTCTAATTAATAATTTAGAAAACATTTCAGGCCTAAAGAAAGACCTGCACTAGGCAGATTTTTATCTCTTGCATAATGTATGTTATTTAATATTATAGGCAGTACGACGTTTCGCTCATCTTTCTCCATCGCCAAATGCCACTGTAGGATTATTGTCAACCAGTTGTAAATCCCGCGGAGGAACCTAGTCCTAGCCCACCCCCCTCTCCCCACCCCCACCCTGTCACATAAATATCAGCAAAAAAAAAAAAAAAACAAAAAAAAAAAAATTGTCCCAAAACTGATTTGTGTTTTGTCTGTATCTTTATTGATATTATTAATAAATATGCCGCACAAAGTTAAAAATGTCAGGTACAACTAAGACCGCTATTTCTTGGTCTGGAGGGCCGGTACTAGTTCATGGCTTTATGAGCCAGACGTTGGCTCGCTAACCTGAAGGTCCCGTGTTCGATCCCTGCGAGGGCCGAGAACGTTGATCAGGATCTTCCCCTTCTCAATGATGCAGGTCAGATTTAACAAGTATACGATCTTGTAGATAATTTTTACAGGACTATTTTCACAAGCAACATATTATCATATAAATAACAAAACGTCGGTGGGGGGGGGGGGTCAAAAGGTCGTATCTGGCATATTTTACTAAATTCACTTTTTTGCTTCTTCAGAATGGGAATTTTCTTGTGCATCTTTTCATGTAGTATGAACTAAGCCGGTTCAAATTGAACTGTTCGTGTATTTTAGCGAATATAATTCGCGTTAGATCATAAGGTCTGTCATTAAGTCAATTGACGCGGTTTCCATTCTCCGCTAGTAATATTTCTAAGCCAATAAAAAGAGGTTATATAGATATGGTTTCAAAATTACGTATATGGGGTGTTCCAGGAAAAAAAATTATTAAGAGTGAAAATGTATTTTCTTGAAAAAATCAACTATGGGTCTAACCAAAGTATTACAATCAAACGAAATATAGCTAGTGTTGTTTTATGGTTAAATACGTATTATTGAAATTATTGTTAATTGTCTACTGTGTGAAGTCTATGAAATTGAAGCAGGTAAATATTTTCCTGAGATACGTTTTTGCTGTATAAAATTGCAAATAACTAGCTTTCACTCTTTATTTCTGCACTAGATTTTGAGCTTCATATATGCGGATAGTTACGTACTGTTTTAATGGCTACCCATACAATATTTGTACAGAAATATTTAAGAAAAGCTTCAGAAATACGACATTTTCCATACGACATTTTGACGTGACGGTTTTATAAGACATTTTGATTCTTAACCTCTGTGTATTTTTTGGCTCTCACGGACAATTTCGCAAAATCCAGATACGACAGTAGGCGTCTGTCAACAAAATACGGATTGATTTGATAGCCATTTCCCCACTCTAATTAATATTTATAATTGATAAAAATTCTAATGAAGTGATATTTATGTATTAAACTAACGAGTATAGATGAATAATGAAGTTTTATTAATTTACAACAATACTAGTTGACCAACAGATGCATTTATTGATTTTTGAATAAAATCTATGCAAATTTATAAAACTGCTATTAAAATGAAATGGCGTTTAACTGTTCTGCTCCGAATTGGCTAAAGAAGACGCCCATACGCCATACAGTGTGCTATGAGGAAAAATTTGTTTTTCCCGGACAGCGGTACGGCACTACGATCTACTCTTATATCGTATTCCAATTGTCAAGGGATCTTTTACGTGCAAACCAATGTATAAACGGGACCTCGGTTTTTGTCCCATCCGAACGGCTATACATTGTCCCTTGCCAGCCCCGGACAGCGGTACGGCACTACGATCTACTCTTATATCGTATTCCAATTGTCAAGGGATCTTTTACGTGCAAACCAATGTATAAACGGGACCTCGGTTTTTGTCCCATCCGAACGGCTATACATTGTCCCTTGCCAGCCCCCCCCCCCCCCCATACTGCATCACTGACAAGGGGGGCCAAGCCGGAAAATCCCTATTAACCTTTTGTCGGTCAACACAAGGATCGATCAGGTGATCTCAAGTTTAGCTAGCCAATGATATGAAGAGAGAGAGAGAGAGAGAGAGAGAGAGATGGGGTTTAACGTCCACTCGACACAAACTAGGTCATTTGACTCAATGGTTTCGAATCCCCGGTTGTACGTGACAAGGAGTAGGGTCGCCTGTCCAACCTCGTGGGTTTTCTCCGGGTCCTCCGGTTTCCTCCCACTGCTAAAGACCCCTACGCGCAAGCGAATTATTGAAATAAAATTAAACCATATGTTAGTCCCGAAATGACCTAGTTTGTGTCGAGTGGACGTTAAACCCCATTTCTCTCTCTCTCTCTGTCTAAGGTCTATTGATAGGCAAACTGTTACTGGCTGGGTCTTACACTCCGCAAACTGCTATAGACGATTTGTGGGTTATGGTGAGCACAGCCAACACCAAACACCACCCCAATATGGACCATCCAAGAGTTTCTAAAGTCTATTTATGGGTCCATTTTTAGTCCGATTGTATCCATTCGAGATATTATCTACCGCTGACATTTCGATTATATTTTCTAAATTAAACAGGCATTATGCAAGAACAAAATCTGCCTCGCAGGTCTTTCTTTAGGCCTTAAAATAAACTATTAGACATTTGTACAAGTGCAATTCATGTGTATTTTCTCATATGTTCGTTGTTGAATAAATGAAGACAGGACTCTCGTTAGTTATTAATATTTTTATATTCTTTGGTTAACAATAATCAACATAAATTACAGCAGACAATTAATGTCTCAAATATTGGTTCAATGTTTAATAGTAGATAAGCCCCAGTATGGGAATTAACATAAACCTCTGTCTCCAAATATCCAAATACAGGTAAATAAGGTCTGTCTTTAGGAATGTGATCTAAGTTGATCTCCCAGTGACACGCTTGTAGCAATCTCTCTCCTGACTCACTCATTTGGGTCTATATATCACCATGCCTTACCTAGGGCATTAATCCTATAAATCTATCGTCTATACAAACAATATACCATGGTAACTAAAACGCTATAGCCCGTAGACGTTAATTGCAATTTCTAAGATCAATTTTAAAGTGTAAAACAAAGAATACTGGAGACAGGTGAGTAAAGAAATATACAAGACAATATGAAATGGATATAAATGATGGGTAATTAAGGTGGATTAAGATCCATTAAAATATAGTTTACTGAATTATTTGATACTGTGCGGATTAGCACGACGTATTAAATACTATTGGGTCGAAATTCACCCAACTACACATTATTAACACGACAAGACTAGAAACAACTCTCGATGCCATCTGATGGGTCCGATTTTCAACAGATTTGAATCCGATCTGCGGTTCAACGGCTGTTGATGATTAACCGTAAAAATGAATAATCGATACTTTGTTTATTATCGTAACAACGGTAACAATGACAATCGAGGCTACAGTGTTATTAAAATGAGAATTTTGCGGCTCAGGGTGAAGTAATTTGACTGAAATTTTCCGGATATTCCCTTTACATTATCTATTTTGTAACTATTATAGCGAGAACTGTCAAATCTTCAATAATGCCGCTTTAAACTTTGAATAATCAATCTGAATACATTTTAGCGTGAAAAGCAAATAAAAAAAAGTCGTGGCAGATTTGGTATATTCTGAAAAATATAACTTATAACTACTATCCAAATTGATTTATGGATTTGGAAATCATAATGACGCAATACCTTTTTGAGTCTAGTGTAAAGTGTCCACATCGAGCGGTCGTTTTTATTAGCCCATTCGGTGCAGTACAATAAGACATTAAACTTCATCTAAATATGGTATGATTTAGCACTAAATAGGGAAGGAGAGAAAACAATTTTTTGGAGAAACAGGAAGAACATAATTATAAAAGATTAAAAAATTTGAAATCGCATACACGGGACATAATACCTAATATAAGGGCGTCCCTCTAGTACAGTAAGACGTTCAACTCCATTTCACCAAAATATGGTATGATTTAGCGCCATAAAGGGAAAAAAAGGAAAGACAAAAATTTGGAAAAACAGGAAGAACATAATTATCAAAGATTAAAAAAATTAAAATCGCATAGACGGGCACATAATAACTAAAGGGCATCCCAGTCCCCCGTGTTCCTATGGTTTTGAATACCATCGAATTTGAACACAACTAAAGTCGAATATTAGTTTTTTAATCAAGAGCGCTAATGATGGGACAACTATCATCAAATTGAATTTATTGATTTTGAAACGATAAACGTGCAAATACGCGAATATTAGTCGTCATATGGTTGGTTTATTTCTAATAGATCATCGCTCAGCTGTTATCACGTATCATGTGACTTCTCACGTGACTTGGTAGAGGACACGCCCCCAAGGGGCCTCCGTCCAGCGAATCGCCCAACTTTGTACTTTGAAGTTTGACCCGAGGAAATACCCTGGAATTCCCTTCGTCTGCTTAAAGATCAAAGACAATCACAGCTATGAGTGAAAGTTCAACAGGCGAAGGTAAGTCTTGGACTTTGATCATAGATAATGTATTTAACTGATGAGAGAGACTGAACAGCACTCTTGCCAGCGAAAACAGTGTAATGCGCAGTCGTATCGACTTTTCAGACGACGAATTTAGATTTAAAATCGGGATGTCGAGCTTATCTGTTGACATAGTGTGTTAGATTACAGCCTGGATTTCTCCTAGTTTTAACGAATTACGACTCGCAAATAATATTACTCAATATTATCGCCAATATTAGTTGTTATTTTGTCGAAAATATACAAGATGGCTGCATGATAACCAAAATTCTGGAATGAAATTTGATAAAAGAAACGAAATAAAAATAACCCAAAAACAAGTCAGAGAGAGTAGAGCAGCTTCAGTGTTATGTAAACAATTTTATGAAATTTGACAGTCAGTTGAATGTGTTATATATTATAATATAATATTTATGATAGCAGTGTCATGAGAAATTGTGTTGTGTTTACATCTGTTTTATATTCTATTTTGGGACTATGGTACTGGTTATATGGATTAATCTCACAGGTTAAAAATGGATCATAAATATATAGAACTACTTATATATATTGTATAGGCCTACATATTGTTTTTTAGAGTGATGATATTCTGTATAGGCCTACATATTGTTTTTTAGGGTCATTTTATATTACATAGGCGTACATATTGTTTTTTGGAGTGATTATATACTATTATAGGTCTATATTTTGTGATCGAGTGTGATTTATGTAAACCACCAAGTTCCACTTGGCAGACGAAGACATTCATAAAAATAATAGTATAAGAAAGTTACATATTTGAAATCTAAAGCAAATTTCGCAGGTAGTATGTATATGACTCAGAAGGGCAGGTAATCCTGTATCCTGATGTACATGGTATTGCATCGGACAAAATCACAACATCTTGACATATAAATCAACCAATCTGAATAAAATGGACCATAGGTAGGCCAAACTTGATTATCCAGAGGTGCACAGAACTGTGGGTAACCCACTAGAAACATCAACGTTGATTGGTTAATCTAATGTCTTGATGTCAGAAGGTCAAAAGCCGCTCGTATGACCTCTGATGCGACCTTCGACTACACTACAACTGGTCAGATCTTCATTTAGTGTACATGTACATGTAGGCCATCGAAAGTATAATAATGAAACGAAATATAGATCTGTATTTTAATCAGATTGGTCCTGTCTCAAAATTAACTCATTTAATCAGGACTACTAGACTTAGAAACACATGCACCATCCAAATTTTATGTTTTGATGAAAAATTAGAATATTTCTGTACTTTTTAAAAGATTCTTAATATTTGTTAACTTTGAAAGGTTTTAGATATTTTGTTACATAATTAATAAAATGGGAGTGAAACGGGGTACTAGAAACACATGTACCATCCAAATTTTTTATGTTCATTGTTTTGATCAAAACTTATAATCTTCCTGTACTTTTTAAAGATTTAAATGTTTGGGCATTCATGTTTGATGTGACTCCCATTTTTGTGTTATAGGTTTTAATCTTAAATACCTAACCCTAATCCTAACCCTAATAGAAAGTATGAAGTTCCATGTGGACACAGTACGGACGACTAACCGCTAGTTTTTCGTTGTAAAAGTGATGGAAATAGAAAAGGGAGTCGGTCGGATCAAACATGATCGCCAATGTTTGTTAACCTTTACAGGATTTAGATATTTTTGTTTTATAATTAATAATTACTGAAATAAAATGGGTGTGAAATGGAGATTTCTAAGGAGAGGTATGGTTAGAAATATCAATGGGCAATGGTGGCTCGCCGAATTTGGTGTTGGCTCCGTAACAAGCACGTTAAAGATCCCCAGAGTTTTTGTACCAGAGAGAAACTGTGTCTGATAAAGTCGTATTTTTATGTTTGACGTTGTCAAGAACAGGTGCTTTATTGCTGTAAAGTCTTTCAAAGTTTTAAGGCCACCTTTTTTAATTTTGTGGATTATCGGCTCAATTCAAACAGAAGACTATAAATAAAATAAAATTGAAATAGAATGGGGTTTAACGTCCTACTGTTCTGCTCCGACTGGGTTAATGATGATGGTCATACACCATACAGTGTGCTATGAGGGAAATTTTGCCAGACAGCAGAGCTACGGTCTACTCTTATATAGAATTCCAACTGTTAAGGGATCTTTTACGTGCCTGCCAATGTATACACAGGACCTTGGTTTTTCGTCCCATCCGAATGACTTGTCAGGCCCTCTGTCCTGTACCATTGACAAGAGAAATCATGTCGCAAAATCTTAGCCACTGTGGCTCCCGCAGAATGGCTATTATGCTACTGACAAGTTACTGGTAGTGTAGATCACCAAGACTACCATAAACAAGTATGAATACAAAATGGTACTCTGACTGCAGTACGAATACAGTGCTATGTATATACCAGGACAACTGCACCACACACAAATACACAAGACAAATCCATGAACAAGACACACAATATACATAAATATTTCAAACAAAAACCAAAGTGACCTGATCCGGTGACCAGCCGTATGTATGAAGCGTCTTGGTGATATGGACTAGTGTAGAATTGTTTCTCTGAAATTACGAGTAACAAATAAGCTTAATGCTGTTATATAAGACACTATAATATAAATTATCTTGATCAACCAGGGCATAAATATCTTATCTCGGACGACCTTAAAATGATCTTGAGATTTGACTTGGAGTACTTTGTATATGATTGATTCTTTATTTGCATAATTTATTTAAATAAAGATGAAAGCACTACATTACAATGTACAAATAGTAAAATAAAATGCAAGTCGGGGCCGGATTAAAATAATAAAATGAAATGCAAACATTGGCTGGTTTACAGTCAGAACTAATAAATAAAAATACCAGGAGATTCAGGATGAAACGATTTATTTTTTATAGATTTTGTTTGATTTTAAGATCTATAAATAGTAAAATAATAAAATGAAATGTAAGTAGGGGCTGGTTTACAATCAGATATAATAAATAAAAATACCCAGAGATTCAAGATGAAGTGATTTATTCTTATAGATTTTGTTCGATTTTATTTACATAAAGTTATATTTCAGGCCGCTATATACGTATATTCTGTTCGTACATGTCAAATTGATATTCGTCCAACAAACATGCAATTAAATCCGGGAGCCACGGTGACTCGGTGAGTAAGACGTTGGCTCGCTAACCTGGAGATCCTGTATTCGATCCTTGGTGTTGGCCGAGAAAGTTCATTAGGTATTTACGAGGTGGTTCCCCCTTGTCAGTGGTGTAGAACGGAGCGACAATGTGTAGTCGTTCGGATGGGACACATTGGTGTGCACATAAAAGATACCTTGGCATTTGAATTCTGCTGTCTGGACAAAATTTCCTTCATAGCACACTGTACTGGATAGGCCCATCTTCATTATCCCAGTCGGAGCCAAACAGCTGGACGATAAAAACCATATTATTTCATTTGAATTCATTGCATATACAATACGATATAATCTTTAATCGATGACTATTTATCATAAATATTGAAGCCCAATAAATTCTCGGATTATCCACTGCCTAAGTCTTCTTCCATGGTTTTTATCTCAGAAACTGTTGTATCATCAAGTTTATCGACATATACATTAAGCGTTTACTAACACTGGGAGATTAGGCAATCTTTGCATGGTACATGTACCTTTGACGTTACTTAAGCAGACATCACTAATTGTCAGTTTGCCGGTTAGGGAAACCCTTACACCATACATTTTTGTCATGTATGCACCCCATGGGTGTATTTTAAGGGAATCCAGTATTTTTCTCGTAAGATTGGGTATTTTTACTTTCCATATATATCAAAATCGCCATACTTATATTTGAAATAACCACCCGATAAATACTTTTCTGGGAAAGTATCTTTAAGTCTGGAAATTGACTTGTACATGTATACACTGGTTTGTTGAACGAATGCAATTTGACATACATATGTATAGATCCCATATCAAAGGAATATATCCATGACGATGAAAGAAAGCACTACCTATATAAATAATAAAAAACATACAAGGACAGGTACACACATGGTCTAGTGGTAGGTTAGACTGTGAAAAGATTTCGACAGGTGGGTTATCGTTTATGTGGATTTATTCTGGATTATTTTATTTGTATAATATTTTATTTCGTTAAAAAAATAAGGCACAACCTGAACGTTATATAGAATAAATAACAAGACAACAAAACAAGCGAACAGACTTGATAAATATAGAACTTTCATCACCCCGAGAAAATATTGATAAAACATAATTTTCTCCTTGGATGGGACAAACAACCAAGGTCTTGTATATGTACCCATCCATGAAAACAAAATTTGTCTATTATAGCTATATCAAGTTTAACCCTTAAGCTTATTACCATTGCAGAGAGAGAGAGAGAGAGAGAGATGTTCACTCACACAAACTAGGTCATTTCGGGACTAACATGGTTCAATTTTATTTCAATATTTTGCTTGTGCTCAGAGGTCTTTAGCAGTGGGAGGAAACCGTAGTACAGAGAGAAAAACCCATGAGGATGGACAGGCGACCCTACTCCTTGTCACGTACAACCGGGGAATGGAAACCATACCACTTGACTCAATGACAGACCGAACCCCCTATAGAATATATGTTACATAGGGTTAATGTCCACTCGACACAAACAAGGTTATTTTGGGACTAACACATGGTTCAATTCTATTTCAGTAATTCGCTTGTGCATAGGGGTCTTTAGCAGTGGGACGAAACCGGAGGACCCAGGGAAAACCCACGAGGTTGGACAGACAACCCTACTCCTTGTCATGTACAACCGGTGAATCGAAACCACGCCAGTTGACTCAATGACAGAATGTATGATGCAGCGCGAATGCGCTAACCATTCAGCCATCCACAATCTACCCCCCTCCCCGAGGTTGAACCATGCCAAATAAATCCTGAAGAACTTTCTTGTCTTAATCACAGTCCTGGAAATACCTGTTTTAGATGTACCTGACAAAA